AAAAGAAAAAAGCCGGAAGTGGCGCTGTGGCTCAAGTGGTAGAGTGCTAGCCTTGAGCTGAAGAGCTGAGGGACAGCACCCAGGCCCAGAGTTCAGGCTCCACGACCGGACCCCAAAAAAAAATTTAAAAAAAAAATTGTAGCACATTAGGTAGACTTAAGCCTTCTTCCCCAAACCCCTCCTGAAAATGCAAAGCCTTGAAACTGGATGTTTATTGGAATACTTTGTACCCAACAATCTCCTTGCTTGGCTGGTCAATATTGCTCAATGTTTGATGGAGGCTTTGTGCTTCTGTCCAAAGAGCATCAATAGGAATTTAGGACACAGGTTGTGGACATGGGTTTTACCCCTAGCACACACTTGTTTGCATCTACTGCAAAGTTATGTTACAACATCAGCATATAGTCGTTGCCATTTTAAGGGGTGGAGTAATCAGTGAAGGATGTGGAGAATTAATAACTTGACATGTAATTATTTTTTATACTACAAGAACGGTGCCTTCTATCCTGGTGGTTAGGGCAGCTGTGTCATTATTTAAGAGCCTGAGAAGTGGCCTATTTTCTTAAAAGAGAAAGTGGCTTTGCTGAAGGTTGAATGTCCTTGACATTCAAAGTCTTCCCCTCACACAGCACTTAATGACAGTGATGCAGATAGGCAGGTGCTTGCAGTTTCCTGGGGATGAATTGTGGGTGGCAACCAAAGCTCACTGCAGGCCCCATTCAGAAGTTGTATCTTTCTTCTTTGCAACCTAGAACAACAATTTAAAAGAGGAGAGGACTTTGAGTCCTAGCTCTAGAGCTAAGGACGGGGTGAGAGTATGGTTAAAGGTGAGTAGGGATGGTTGAAAGCCAGAATGACTTGCATTTGGTCATAATGTCTATGATCATGTACTGCCTGTATTGTCTATTTACCAGCCTCACCAGGCTGCATACTGATGGCAGGTGGCTGCAAATACAAGCATAGTAGGGGTCATTTAGTGGCAGTGAAAAACATCAAGCGTTCACTGTGCATCCTTATACCAACTCTGGAGTAAGTACTGTTGTGCCTGTTTTATGCATGAGGAAAGGTAAGACAGTCCGGTCGCTTGGCCTGCCTCTGCTTACACAGCTGGTTGGTACCTGAGCTGCTGTTGGAGTCCATGCAGTCAGTAAGCTGTTAAAAAGAGACTGTTAAAGCAAGTGAATACAGCCTTGCACCAATGGCTCACACCTGTAGCCCTAGCCATTTAGGAAGCTAAGATCTGAGGATCATGGTTCAAAGTAAGTCTGGGCAGGAAAGTCCATGAGACTCTTTATCTCCAGTTAACCAGCAAAGAGCCATAAATGGAATTGTGGCTCAAGTGGTAGAGCACTAATCTTCAGCAAAAAAGTTCAGTGACAGCGTCCAAGCCCTGAGTTCAAGACCCAGAACTAGTCCCTTCCCCCCCTCAAAAAAAAAAGTGAATGGGAAATGTAAAAAACAGAAGAATCTGCTCTTACATCATAGAATTAACCACACATACCATTTAACAGCTGTTGAGGCCAAGTTAGTTTTGAGTTCATCACCAGTGCCAGATTTGTCTGGCCAGTCTGGCTTCAAAACACAACCCTTAGATCTCAGCCTCCTGATGACAGGTTTGAGCCACCAGCACCCAAGCCAGAAAGGAGTTTATTGGGAAAATAGCTGGTACTTTCCAGGGACTCTCTAGAAGTTTCAAAGGTAGTTTCTAGTGAAATCTGGACATTTTGGTTTTTGTATTTTAGATCCAGTTTTGTGAAGGCCAATTTTTTAAAACTTATTAGGTAACATTTGTTCACTTGATTAAGATAGGATTATGAATACCTGAGAACAACCATTGACAATCTGTTTAACCCAAAGAATAACCTAAGAAAGCTCACACCTGTAATCCTAGCTACTCAGGAGGCTGAGATCTGAGGATCACAGTTCAGCCCACAAGACCCTTATCTCCAGCTAACCACCAGAAACCCAGAAGTAGAGCTATAGCTCAAAGTGGTAGAACAGTAGCAGAAAAGCTTAGGGGCAGTACCCAGGCCTTGAGTTCAAACCCCACCACAGACAAGAATAAAGAAAAAGAATAACTTAAGGAATCTTAGCTCCTTAATATGTGAAAATCTTTTTTTGTTCTTGTTTATATAATCAAGACCATACTAGAGTCAATATAAAGCATAGGAAAAACAACAACAAGTTTGCAAAAAAGATAAGAAATGACCTTTCATGTTGTAGGTTCAACCATTAATCACTCATCCAGGAAAGCTTTCCCATCAGTATTGGGCAAACTTTGTTAGAACATTAACACAGCCAGATGCCGGTGGCTCACGCCTGTATCCTAACTACTCACGAGGCTGAAATCTGAGGGTCTCAGTTCAAAGCCAGCCTGGGAAGGAAAGTTTGTGAGACTCTTATCTCTAATTAACCACCAGAAAACCAGAAGTGGCACTGTGGCTCCAGTGGTAGAGCGCTTGCCTTGAGATGAAGAGCTCAGGGACAACACCAGTCTCAGAGTTCATGCCCCATGACCAGACAAAACAAAAACATTAACACATAAGCTTCTTTGCAGATGTAATCAGGACCACTGCTTTGTTCTCCCACAAGCTTCAAAAGTGGTAGGGAGAGGAAAGGCCTTCCTGATACTAATAAAGTAGAGGCCAGAGACAGACCTGATCTTCAGCATTTGAAGCAACCCATGGAGCGGGCTTTAGCCACTGTCTTCTCCCCCGCCTCCAACAAAGCTGTCTGTGAAAGGTCTACAGTGACTGCCATACCACATCTATGTGCCATGATCCAGAAATGCAAGACAGAAAACCCACCCAAACAAGCTCTATACCTTCTTTAAGAAATCTACAAGTGAGGGGCTGGGAAGGTGACTTAGTGGTAGAGTGCTTGCCTACCATGCATGAAGCCCTGGGTTCAATTCCTCAGTACCACATAAACAGAAAATGCCAGAAATGTTGCTGTGGTAGAATTCAAGCCTGAGCAAAAGAAGCTCAGAGACAGTGCTCAGACCCTGACCGTGCTCAAGCCCCAAGAATGGCAAAAAAAAAAAGAAAGAAATCTACAAATGATCATTGGGTGAGATCTACACACTAGCTGTCAGATTAATAAACTGCAACCAATGACTGGATTCACTTTCCCGTCAGTCCTCATGTTCTGTGGGATTGGTGTTTCGGGAACTCTGTAGACTCAAAACTTTCCTAGCAGTACACAGATGTCATTTACATTAACACACAGTGTGTTTCCGTCATTGCTATTGTCAAATTCCTCATTTCTTTTTTTTTAATTTTATTTTATTGTTAAGATGCTGTATAGAGGGGTAACAGTTAAATGAGTAAGGCAATGAGTATATTACTTCAAATTCCTCATTTCTAATTCCTCATTTCTAATTAGTAAATACCTACCATTGCACCCCACATGGATATTCTTTGAGGACCTTTAGCTAGCCAGAAGCTCTATCTACTTGCCTATATCAGCCCCCTGAGATCAGAAAATGCTTGTGCCCACAGTGCCAGGGCAGGGAGTGGGGGGGGGGCATGTTCTGCCAACAGAGGCAGTTTCAGCTTCAGTTCTGCCTCAGGCTCCCAAAGATCCCTAGGTCCCCACGCAGGCTCCATAGTAAAGGCTTCTCCCAATGTGAGCACAAAGACTGTGAAGATTGTCATATGCATGACACCGGTGCCTTCTTAGCTGTTTGTGCAAACAAACGAGACAAAGTCAAGAATAAATAGTAGCTCTTCGCAATTTCTAGTAGATAAAGGAATGGAAAGGTCAGAACGTTTGGGTGGCTGCTGCTGTGTGGGGTCTGGGCCAAGACAACGTACTCTTTACTTTGATTTGTTTTTTGTTTTTGCCAGTCCTGGGGCTTGAACTCAGAGCCTGGGCGCTGTCCCTGAGTTTCTTTTGCTCAAGGCTAGCACTCTACCACTTGAGCCACAGAGCCAGCATTTTCTGTGTATGTGGTACTGAAGTATCAAACCCAGGGCTTCATGCAGTGAGGCAAGCCCTCTACCACTAAGCCACCTTCCCAGCCCCCTGAAAGACTTTTATCTTCAATTAACCAGCAATATGTTTGAAGTGGAGGCCTGGCTCAAGTAGTAGAGCACTGATCTTGAGTAAAAAAAAAAAAATCTTAGAGGCTCTGAGCTGCAGCTCTAGTACCATAAATAAATAAATAATAACTAAGCCTATACTGTGTTCTCCCCAGAATGATTGAGATCTCCCCCTCTGCATGCCATAGTACTGTACTGAAATTATTGCTCTCTAGTCTTCTGCAAGGTAATCTGAACCTTTTGTGCTCTTAGATTGTTGGTACCTATTGCTATGTCCTGTGTACAACACAAACATTGGTTGAAATAGATCTTGTAGTTCGTGTGACTGAGGTAAAGTGTTTGTCATTTCAGTTCCTGGTGGGCCCAGGTGGAAATGGGACCCCCAGATCCCATCCTGGGAGTCACCGAAGCCTTCAAGAGAGACACCAACAGCAAAAAGATGAACCTGGGCGTCGGTGCATACCGGGACGATAATGGGAAACCTTATGTGCTCCCCAGTGTCCGGAAGGTGAGCCTGCCATCCTTCGCCTCTGAGTCAGGATGGGGAAGCAGAAGGAAGCTTCTGAGAGGTTGAAGGGGTGATAGACCAGGTCCAGGAGCCTGGGTTTGGCACTTCACTTCATGAATCACTATAGCTTTCTGGGTTATAGGTTTCTTGACTGTAAAAGTAAAAGGTTGAGACCCCAGGGTATTTTCAACAATTAGAAAATAAGCATATGTCTTGTCTAATTCTAAGGGTGCACAAGAGGATTGAAATGTTAACATGGCTCCTGGGAGAAGAATAGCCCTCTGTGGATAAAGGCTGTTGTTGCTACTTCCCATTTCTCCATAAAACTCCTATTCTTGTCACACTGTTATCAGAAGTTATACCATTAAATATAACTAATCCCCTTAGAGCAAGTTGTAAAAATTATTCAGCAAAGGGGGGTAACAGTGCTCCATAGGAAATGTACTCATTGCCTTACTCATGTAACTGTAACCCCTCTGTACAGTATCTTTACAAAAAGGGTTGGGGGGCTGGGAAGGTGGCTCAGTGGTAGAGTGCTTGCCTTGCATGCATGAAGCCCTAGGTTCGATTCCTCAGCACAACATAAGCAGAAAAAGCCAGGAGTGGGGCTGAGGCTCAAGTGGTAGAGCGCTAGTCTACAGCTAAAGAACTGAGGGACAGAGCCCAGGCCCAGAGTTCAGGCCCCACGACTGACAAAAAAAAAAAAAAGGACAGGGAAGTGGCTCAGTGGTAGAGTGCTTGCCTTGCCTTGCCTTGCACACATGAAGCCCTGGGTTAAATTCTTCAGCACCACATAAGCAGAAAAAGCCAGAAGTGGAACTGTGGCTCAAGTGGTAGAGCGCTCACTTTGAGCTGAAGAGCTGAGGGATAGTGCCCAGGCCCAGAGTTCAAGCCCCATGACCAACAAAAACAAACATATATATATATATATATATATATATATATATACATTAAAAAATTATTCAGTGCAGGAGTGTAGCTCAGTAGTAGAATGCTTATCTAGCCTATAAAAGCTCTGTATTTGAGCCCCAGCACTGGAGAATAAATACAAAATTATTTGGTGAGTGGGGCACTGGTGGCTCACACCTGTACTCCTAGCTACTCAGAAGGTTGAGTTCTGAGGATCATGGTTCAAAGCCAGCCTAGGCAGGAAAGTCAGTGAGACTCTTATCTCCAATAAACTACTCAGAAAATGCTGGAAGTGGCTCTGTGACTCAAGTGATAGAGCACTAGCCTTGAGCTGAAGAGCTGAGGAACAGCACCCAGGCCCAGAGTTCAGGGGCCGGGCACTGGTGGCTCACGCCTGTAATCCTAGCTACTCAGGAGGCTGAGATCTGAGGATCTCAGTTCAAAGCCAGCCCGGGCAGGAGAGACTGTGACACTCCTATCTCCAATAAACCACCAGAAAACCAGAAGTGGTGCTGTAGCTCAAGTGGTAGAGTACTCGCCTTGAGCTGAAGAGCTGAGGACAGCGCCCAGGCCCAGAGTTCAAGCCCCACAACTGACAAAAAAATAAATAAAGGGGGAAGGGCATGGTTCAAGTGGTAGACCCCTGCTTAGTAAGTGTAAGGCCAAGTTCAGAGATCAACTGTGCCAACCCCCAAAGAAGTCAAAGTAATTTTAAAATTTAATAAAAAGGGCTGGGATGTAGCTCAGTGGCAAAGCGCTTGCCTAGCAAGTGCAACGTCCTGGGTTCGATCCCCAGTACCAAAAAAAGAAAAGACAAAAAAATACAGTTAAAAAAATTAAAATTAAAAAAAAAACATTAATGAGCAATCATAGTGGTTCCATGTAAGACAAACTAAATAATCACATTTTTTTTCCTGTGCAGGCAGAGGCTCAGATTGCTGCAAAAAATCTTGACAAGGAATACCTGCCTATTGGGGGACTGGCTGAATTCTGTAAGGCCTCTGCAGAGTTGGCCCTGGGAGAGAACAGTGAGGTGTTGAAAAGTGGTCGGGTAAGCCACACATGCTTGTGTCCTGCAGGTCTGGGCTTTAGATCAAACCAAAAAAGCTCACCAGTTAGAAGAAACAGTTTTATCTCCTCACAGAATAGGAACTCCTAGACAACCTTTAAAAAGGCATGAGCTGGCTGGGTGCTGGTGGCTCATGCCTGTAATCCTAGCTACTCAGGAGGCTGGTATCTGAGGATTGGGGTTCAAAGCCAGACCAGCCCAACAGGGAAAGTCTGTGAGACTCTTACCTCCAATAAACCACTCAGAAAGCCAGAAGTGGTGCTGTGGCTCAAGTGGTAGAGCGCCAGTCTTGAGCTAAAGAGCTGAGGGACAGTGCCCAGGCCCAGAGTTCAAGCCCCACAACTGACAAAAAAAAGCATGAGCTGGGGGTAGAGCTCAGTGGTTGAGCTCATGTCTAGCATATGTGAAACCCCATGTTCAGTCCTCTACATCATCAGTGTTCAGTGTTATCTTGATGTATATGTTCACTTCTTTTGCAAAGTTCTTTTTTCCAGAAGGTCATCATGGGGCTGGGAATGTGGCTTAGTGGTAGAGTGCTTGCCTAGCATGCATGAAACCCTGGGTTCGATTTCTCACTACCACATAAACAGAAAAGGCCAGAAGTAGTGCTGTGGCTCAAGCAGTAGAGTGCTAGCCTTGAGCAAAAGAAGCTCAGGGACAGGGCCCAGCCCAGAACCTGAGTTCAAGCCCCAGGACTCAGGAGCAGGGGGGAGGGGAGGACGGAGTCATCATGTTTTGTAATATTCTAAAGTAATATTTTAGTACAGTAGCCTTTTGTTTTGCGTGTATAAATCAGTTTTTGTATATTGGGGAGGGATTTGTTGGCTACGTTTTTCATGTAGCATGATGGTACAAACAGGCTATAGGGAATTAGTTTCCAAAGTCCAGAGCACACCCTGGGCAGCACAGACATAGTTAACCCAGTGTCTCTCCTGCAGTTTGTCACTGTGCAGACCATTTCTGGAACTGGAGCCTTAAGGATCGGAGCCAGTTTTCTGGTAAGTTTGGAGATTCCTTTGGGAATAAACTGTAAGCTAAAGGTGCCAAGTCCTCTGTCTGACTGCTTACCAGATGCAGGTTTTCTCTTTACAAAGAATTGGCAAGTCCTGTTCTCTGATAAAAGAAAGAAAGGACTTTGAAGAAGGTGGATGCTGGTGGCTCACACCTGGAATCCTAGCTACTCAAGAGGCTGAGATCTGAGGATCACAGTTCAAAGCCAGCCCGGGTAGACCAAATGAGACTCTTATCTCCAATTAACTAGCAAAAAGCTGGAACTGGAGGCATGGCTTAAATGATAGTGTGCCAGCTGTGAAGGGGAAAAAAAACAAAGCTGAGCAACCCCTGAATTCAAGAAAGCAAGTACTTTGGAGAAGTTGGAATGAATATAATAATACTAATGCTAATAGGTTCAAATGGTTGAGCATTTACTGTTACTAGGGAGTTTGTGTCTTAATTGGTTGAATTTACTTCATTTTACAAATATAGGTGAGGCCCAGACAGGTCCTTGCTACCTAGCCAAGGTGATTGTCGGAGCCTGAATTCTGATTCTCGTGGCTAGGTTTCAGTGGGGAAAATGTTATCTCAGTAAAGTGTACCACCAGTTTTTGCCTATCTTTCATGATTGTTTCATTCCCTTTCCTCTTGTGTTTTAGCAAAGATTTTTTAAGTTCAGCCGAGACGTCTACCTGCCCAAACCAACCTGGGGGAATCACACACCCATCTTCAGGGATGCTGGCATGCAGCTCCAGAGCTATCGATACTATGACCCCAAGACTTGTGGGTTTGACTTCACAGGCGCCATAGAAGACATTTCAGTAAGTATGGCTTCCAGAATGGGAGGGGAGAAACAACAGAATAAACTTCCATGTGGACATTCCATGTCTCCTGTGTCTGCCTTACAGTACTGGGGGTGGGCTAATGCTCTGGCCTCAGGTTCTACTGGTCATTTCTCAGAAGTGCCCTGTAGTTTCAGATGACTCCCTCCACAACATAGGGCTGAGAATGTGGCCTAGTGGTAGTTGTCTAGCATGCATGAAGCTCTGGGTTCGTTTCCTCAGTACCACATACACAGTAAAAGCCAAAAGTGGCACTGTGGCTCAAGTGGTAGAATGCTAGCCTTGAGTAAAAGAAGCTCAGGGACAGTGCCCAGGCCCTGGTGGCTCATACCTATAATCTTAGCTACTCAGGAGGCCAAGATCTGAGGATCACGGTTCAAAGCCAGGCTGGACAAGAAAGTTCTTGAGACTCTTATCTCCAACTAACTTCATAAAAAGCCAGAAATGGTCTGGAAAGGTGGCTCAGTGGTAGAGCACTTGCCTTACATGCTTGAGGCCCTGGGTTCAATTCCTCAGCACCATATAAGCAGAAGAAAAAAAGCCGGAAGTGGGGCTGTAGCTCAAGTGATAGAGTGCTAGCCTGGAGCTGAAGAGCAGAGGGACAGCGCCCAGGCCCAGAGTTCAGGCCCCACACCCAGACCCAAAAAATAAAAAGCCAGAAGTGGTTCCGTGGCTCAAGAGGTAGAGCACTAGCCTTGAACAAAAGAAGCTCAGGGACAGTGCCCATGTCATGAGTCCAACCCTGTCCTGAGTTCAAGCCCCAGGACCAGCAAAGAAAATACACAATGCAATGCCAACTCTTTTCTTGATTGTTTTTCTCTTTAGAAAATACCAGAGCAAAGTGTTCTCCTCCTGCATGCCTGTGCCCACAACCCTACGGGTGTAGACCCTCGTCCAGAGCAGTGGAAGGAAATCGCATCGGTGGTAAAGGTATGGAGGGTGGGCAAATGGGTGACTGGTGGTTATTAACTAGCCTGGGACGCTTAGCTTGACTGAAAATGAATTAATTGCAGGCCTGCACCATGAATGAACTGCCAGGAGAGGGCTCCTTGTGATACATGATGCATGAGCAGTTTGAAATAATGTTTTTGCTCAGCCTGAATATACCAAGTTCTGGTACAACTTCTCATTGGCTGGCCTGCACTCCAGCCGCACTGTCTGCTTTGGGCGTCTGCATATGCACAGTCAGAGTTACGTATTCTTCCTCTCACATGGGTTTTCACATCCTTCCTGTTCTTGCCACTTTCAGGACACTGGTCAGAATTCTTAGGGAGGAAAACATCACTCCTGCTGTGTCACTATCTTCCCTACCTTCTGTCAATTCTTAGCTGCAAGCAGAACGAGTTAAGAAACGTAACACAGAGACCGCTGTCAAGAGAAAGTGGTTCTGTGCTGACTGACCCAAGCAAACTACTGTGGACCTCAGAAGCCTCCTGCTTGACTAAGGGGCACTGCACACACACTGAGATTAAGACACCTTGGTGTCTGTTGCAAACCATATCCGTTAAAGTGAAAACCTAAAAAATGTTGCGGTGTTAACACTAGGAAAATTCAGATATCACTCCAGCTTCCCTCTAGGGAGAAGCTGTGTAACTGTGGCATTGGTCCCAGTGAGCCCAAGCATCGCAGACAGCCTGACTAAAGCTCTGATCTTCTCATTCCTTCCCAGAAAAAGAATCTCTTTGCATTCTTTGACATGGCCTACCAAGGTTTTGCCAGCGGTGATGGTAACAAAGATGCCTGGGCTGTGCGCCACTTCATCGAACAGGGCATTAACATTTGTCTCTGCCAATCGTATGCCAAGAACATGGGCTTATATGGTAAGCAAGGACCCAGCGTGATACATGCTCTGATGCTTAGACAGAATGAGAGGCAGAGTGAGTCCTTACCCAAAGAGCTAAGAATGGATTTGACTGATTTTCTTAGCCATATCTTTTCCAAATATCCATGAATTCCTTTAGCAAAGAAAGCTGGTGATCCCCAAACAAAAACTGATCCAGGTGCCAAGAAGATAGATCCAATAAAATGCTGGGCACAGGAGGCTGAGATCTGAGGATCATGGTTCAAATGATGCCAGCTCAGGCAAGAAAATTCGTGAGACTCTTAGCTCCAATTAACTACCAGAAAACCAGAAATGGTGCTGTGGCTCAAAGTAGTAGAGCACGAGCCTTGAGCGAAAGAGCTCAGGGACAGTGCCCAGGCCCTGAATTCAAGCCTCATGACTGACCAAAAAAAAGCAAAAAAACCTTAAAACTGATGCTGATGGCTCCCACCTATAATCCTAACTACTCAAGAGGCTGAAATCTGGAGAATCATGGTTCTAAGAGAGCCAGCTAGAAAAGTCTGAGAGACTCCATCTCAAAATCAGAAGCAGGGCAGGGGGGTGGGGGGGAGAGACACAAGTCTGGGTATGTGGTTCAAATGGTAGAGTACCAGCTGAGCAAGTGCAAGTTCAACCTCCAGTGTGTGTGGGAGGGAAGGAGACTGGAATACTCTCTTGACGTGATCATTTCCTGTGTTCAGGCGAGCGTGTGGGAGCCTTCACTGTAATCTGCAAAGATGCCGAGGAAGCCAAAAGAGTGGAGTCCCAGTTGAAGATCCTGATCCGTCCCATGTATTCCAACCCTCCACTCAACGGGGCCCGGATCGCCTCCACCATCCTGACATCCCCAGATTTGCGGAAGCAGTGGTAAAGACTTCCCAGCCACCCTTAGATCCAGGCCCAGCCCCTTCAAAGCCAGTTAGTGACTGACCTCCAATGACATGTAGAACCTTCTAGGTCCTGTGTGGAAAGGGTACAAGGAGGGAGAGCATATTTTGTTGGATCAAATAAGTTATTTACCTGAAAGAGACCCATAAAATTGAGAATTGGCTGGTGTATATGCTATCCTTCATACATATCATCCGTACTTAGCAAAAGCTACTTTCCCCTGGAATCCGGTTCAAATTGTAGTACCTGCATAGGAAAACTTCCTCACAAAGATCATATTTTGGTTTTAGTATTGTAATGCTAGAGGTCAAACCTAGGGCCTTGGACATGATAGGTTTGCCCCTGAGTGTGCTACCACTGAGCTATTCCTAGCCACCATGTTTTTATTTTTGTCACAGTAATAGCTAACATTAAATCAATACTTCCGGCATATTTTTGTCTTTTATTACTATACTCTGCATCTTAAATACTTGTTTTTATTACTGACCTTCAATCTATTTAACTACATTCTACATAAAAAATGACATTGGTTTGTTTTTTTGTGCTCCTATTAGGGCTTGAACTTGGCCTGGGCACTGTCCCTGAGCTTTATTTGCTCAAGGCTGGTGCTCTACCACTTGAGCCACACCTCCACTTCTGGCTTTTTACTGGTTAATTGTAGATAAAAGTCTCACAGACTTTTCTGCCTGGGCTGGCTTTGAAGCCATGATCCTTAGATCTCAGTCTCTTGAGTAGCTAGGATTAGAAGCATGAGCTACCAGCACCTGACATTTGTTGTACAGTCACTGTACATTTGTTGTACAAGGTGGGTTTCATTGTGACATTCTGTAACCCCATCAACCTCACCCCTCTACGCTCTCCCTTATTCCTTTCCTGATGTTTATTGTTTTTTTGTTTTGTTTTGTTTTTTGGGTCCGGTCATGGGGCCTGAACTCTGGGCCTGGGTGCTGTCCCTCAGCTCTGTAGCTCAAGGCTAGCGCTCTACCATTGAGCCACAGCGCCACTTGCGGCTTTTTTCTTTTTGCTTATGTGGTGCTGAGGAATCGAACCCAGGGCCTCATGCATGCAAGGCAAGCGCTCTA